TCTATATATATATATATATATATATATATAATTCTAACCTCACTTCGAATCACTTAACGTTCCGAGAGACAAGTCGAAACACGATCGAACCACGGATCGTTGGAGAGAGTAGAGTTAAATAGAAAAGCGTAGAGGCACGCGTCTAGCTTCCATTACGAATCTATTCGCGTGCGCACGCATACGTGCGATACACGATACACGCGCCGGTATCCAACAGCGCGTGCATTCTTCCACGACCGCCAACCTACCTTATCCCGCTACGTAAACTATCGAACGATGATCGTTCAACGATCCGAACGTTGGTAAACTTTACGCCACGGCATTACGTTACAATTGTGTGTTACGTGTGTTGCGTGTGTAGCCCGTGCAGGAAACGTAGCTCATCTACACGTACGTGCGAATGCAGGCAGCCATTCCTGCTTCCGGTCGGCTGCCATGCACAGAATGCGTACGCGTATGCAGATTGGCGGCCGCGCTATGCAACCCAACATACCGACCGAGGAGGATCGATTCGAACCGCGTCGCTCTTTTTCATTCGAGACGAATCGGTCGGAAAAGTATTCGAATTCTCCGCCCGGCCAAAGTCGAAACCGATCCACGTATCTGCGGCCTAGAATCATTCCCAAACCGTTAGATTTCTCGATACTCGAGTTTCCTTTTTGAGATGCACCAAGGAAAAAACTGTACCGCCGAGGAAACGAGACTCGGTGCGGTTTCTCGCGACGAAAACGAAATTCGACACGAATCGAAGGGAATTACTCGTGAATGAATTAGAATAGAAGGATAATAATAGAGGTAATAACAGTGAAGGTTTGGTTCGTAGGAAGGTTTGGAAGTTAATTAAATGGATTGCATAGGGAAGGTTGTGTAGGAGCGGAACACGAGGATCGATTCGTCGGATTTGGTGGTCGATAACGATGATTTTCGATTACAGGAATTGCTTGGTGGCAAAGCTTATCACATTAAAATCTCGGATTTCGGTACGGACAACGAATTGTACGCGAGCGATTATTACAAAGTCGATGGCACGGTGCCACTGCCGATACGCTGGATGGCCTGGGAATCCATATTCCTGGTAAGCTTTATTCCAATACTGAATTAAACGTGATACACAAGTGTCCCCTTGTTCTCCAATTTGCGTAACAAATTCTATAATTGATACGCAAACACGTCGAATTTTAATCAAATTCGTACACCGAAAATCGAAAATCCTTGACGTAACAACGTGCGATTTACGCGTAGTTTCCCGTCATCGGATCAAAAATAAATTAATTTTCAAAGATTCTCTCTATTCTTTAAGTTCATCGATAAATAAATGCACAAGACCTATAGTCCGTAAAATTAAATTCGTCACTTTTGCTATTTTATTCAGTTCAAACAGAATCAATAAATTCACCGATTAAATTCGAAAAAAAACCATTCGTTTCTGTCAAATCCCAATTATTTAGAAGCTAGAATCCGATATAATCGATACGATCTTCGCAGGGCAAATACACGACGAAGAGCGACGTATGGGCGTTCGCGGTGACCCTGTGGGAGATCCTGAACCTTGGCAGACGGGTCCCTTACGAGCACTTGTCGAACGAGGAAGTGGTGCAGAGCCTGCGACGATTGCATCGGGCCGATTGCGCCACCGACACCGATGCGGAGAACAGCGGATGCAAGGAGAATACCGATAACCTTTTCGGCTATTTACCGCAGCCGACCGCGTGCTCCAAAGATATTTACGATTTGATGCTCGACTGTTGGCGGCGGGAGGAGAGCGAGAGGCCAACCTTCCGGGAGATCTCGATGTTCCTGCAGCGGAAGAACCTCGGCTACGCGCCCACATCCTGATATTGAACGTTTGGCAAGGTCGAGGAGCACACGGTTTGTGGCGGTTGCCACGTGTGCCCGGCTAAACGTCGCTCATACTTTGACCACGAGATGGTCGAAGATGCCGTTTACCCGCATTGGATAACCGTGAGAACCAAGTTCTGAATTCTTCGACAGCCATTTCCCTCGAAACCTCGGAAAGATTTCGAGCGACCGAAAAAAGGTGTATACACATCGAAGAAGAAGGGAATACAACGATACGGTCCAATATCGGTTTCCGGCAACGAAATCGAACTCTTCAGATTCTCTTCGATTTTTTTTTTTTTTTTTTTTCTTCCCCCTGTGAGATAATGTCGTATCGAGCGATTTCGATTCGATTGAGATTTATTCAATTAGGAACTGAAAGTGAAATAAACTTGGGAAACGATTTTCAGGGATGGCGGACGTGAATCTGCCCGTGTAGATATGGTAGGAAGCTACTCTACCATAGATTCGTGAAAATATCGTAAAGATTTGCTTAGTAGATAAGTGAGGAAGGGGGATCGTGACGAAACGATTCTCGATCGCGGAGAAATATTCGACGAGGGCGTTGTTTTAGACGTAAGGAAAACAAACGTAAAACTGTGAAACTCCGACAATCGAAGAGAGCGCGACCTTTGTTCAAAAGGAAATTCGCGCCAAGTTTCGCGCCAATTTCGCGCGCTGGATCTCGTGGATCCTCGATATGATCGTCGAAAATTTAGGAGCAATATCGTGTAATTATAATACAGCTGTGAACATTCCTGCATGGATTTAAAGATACGTTTATTATCTTCGAGGTAAATAAGGGATATTCGTTTAAGATTTTAAAAGTTACCTTCCGAGACGATTAATGTCTTTCTTTTGTAACGAAACAATAAGAGAAGAAAATTAAGGAATATGGAAAGGAATATGAAAAGTCAAAAAAGAAGGAAAGAAAAACGGGGAAAAAGCATTGCATCGACGTATGGCAATACGGTATAACTAAATATCAAACTCACTTTCGTGAGTTGTTAATCGAGTAAAGAAAAGGAAAAAAAAAAAAAAGAAAAAAAAAGAAAAAAAAAAGGAAAAAGAAATTATATGAGAACAAGTGTGAATGCGTGTGTTTGTGAACGTGTAGATGGTTACAATTCATCGTGCGTAAATTTATCGTAATCAGGTTAGGCTCGATAGACTTCGAACGAATCGACAGACTGTCGAAGCAAGACTGTCGAATTTCTCGTGTAACGTCATATTACACGATAGAGAGCTCTCATCGCGTACAAATTGTACACGAGAAAGATTCGTATCACGATGTATCATTTTCTCGATCTGCGTATCTTGGCCATCGAATCGCGCTGAAATTAGAATAAGATTTACAAAGTTAAACTGTCAATATATCTTATTTCAAAGAGAACAAAAAAAGAAAAAAAAAAAAAAATTGTAAAATTTTTTCAACGAAATAAATTCAACGTTCGCGTGAGAGCTCGGCGATAACGTGTAATTCGCGAATGGAAAACGGTATACATATTTCTCTGTTGAATAAAATGGTGGCTCGCACCGTGACTATGACACATCATAATTGTAACTTTATATGATAGGCGGGATCAATACAAAGACAAAGAAAAGAACTAATATATTGTACATATAGACGTACACATCGAGAAACGTTTATCATTAATGCGTTAACGCGAACGGGATTAGCAGCGGCGAGCAAGCAATTCGAACTTATCTTATCGTCTTTATCTAAAATGTTATCGTGTTCCTTTTTGCCTCCTCTGCGGACACGATTTCGTTGATAGGCCAACGGAAACTAGTGGTTGTTCCGGGGATGGAACAAAATCTTTTTGGCGCGATGTCTGGAACGTTATCATTAACATATCCGACCCTTCGTTTCTATTTTTGGGACGAGGACGAGAAACGCGAATGAACGAGGGAAAAGAAAAAAAGGAAAAAAAAAGAAATAAAAAAAAAAAAAGAAAAACGATAAGTTCGCAAGATTTCCAAGTCAAATGTTCGTTCAACGATGCTATCTCTCACGACATTTTTCAACTAATTAATCATTCGATTCGTTATGTTCCATGTATTTATATCAGATGAATACTATTAATAGCATTCGCAATATTTAGTAAGTAGGTGATGTTACCGTTATAACATTAAAAATACTATTTATATATCTTAATGTAATGCCGCGTAAGAAGTAGATATATCAGAGACATAGCCATTCGTATATAAATCGTACGTGCGTTGAATTTAAACGTAACAAAGTTCGCTTCTCTGTCGTTGCATAAACGAGGGGGGGAGGGGGGAGGGAGGGGAAATGGGAAAAGGGTAAGATAGAAATAATCGATAAATATATAAATTCAAGTTGGCGTGAATCGATTTACGAAGTTATCGATTCGAACGAAGAAAGATAGAATATTAGAAGGGGTTGGGGAGGACGGGGGAGAGGAAGATACTGTTCTCTCTATTGATAAGGTAGAACGATATAGAATTTTATACCGAGATCAGGCACTTTGTTAAAATAGAAATTCACACGAGTTCATAGTTGTCACTTCATTAGCGTTAAAGAATGAAAGAAGGAAAGAAAAAAAAAAAAAGGAAAAAAGAAAGAAGAAAAAAAAAAGAAGAAAAAATCGAAAGGAAACTGCCGTCACTAACACGTGACATTAGAAAAACGAATCATAGTTGCGTTTAGATTCATCGATATAAGCATATTGCTGCCTTTGGCTGTATCGTTGCCCCTTACTGCTAACGAGTAACTCACTTGTCTACTCATGTGATAATTTAGTATATCTCTGCGTACCTACCTGTACCTACACCGGTTCGGAAATCTCAGTAGTAAAGAAATTTATTTATCTTACATTACGTTCTATCTCAATTTCATCGACTGACTGAGTACATATCTTTGTCGATAAAAATTTAAAATTAATAGCAATAAATTTTTTTTGTAAAATAAAAAATTACGTAAATTTCATTCTTTTGTATCAAAATTCGAATTAAAAAAAAAAAAANAAAAAAAAAATAAAAGAAAACGAAGAAAAACGTTTAAAAAAAAACGAATCCAAACAAGAAGTAAGGATAATCCGAAAATTAGATCAAAAATTAATTGAAAGTTATTTTAATAATACAGTTTGCAACGAATTTTAACTTCTTTGATTTTTAAGAGAAGTAGATCTTTCTGCCATTTTATTCCAAAGATATTCTCTGTCAGTAGATATTCTCCATCATTATTAAATGGATTGCTTAAAGAACACTAGTTTCGACGAACCTAATGTTTCATGAACGTCGTTTTGGTTCGTGAGCTCTACGTTGATTTCGACGATCCCAATTAACGGGGTGAATAAAAATCGGTCGAATCGGTCGAATTTTCTTGTATAACAAATTTTGTTTTTCTTTTCTTTTCTTCTTTTTTTTTTTTTTTTTTTTTTTTNTTTTTTTATTTTATGTGTGTGTGAATAAATATACGATCGACAATCACGTTTAAGTCACAAAGCTTCCCGGGATCGTTCAATCTTCCATGTTAATACTATTGTAAATGGTATTGACAATGAGAAGAGAATCACGTGAACAGTGAAATTACCATTTCGTTTTTCGATTTTTCACTGTAATCGTTTACGAAGAATTCTATATTAGACCTTGCAAAAGTATTTATTTACATTTTTCTCAATTCGTCTATTTAAGTACGTTTTGCATGGTACGAAATAGCAAAAGATTTTTGCAGAGTATTTTTTCATTGTTGATAATGAATTAAGTATTAAAAAAACAAATTCCTAATATATAATCCCGTATCCGAATAATTGTAATTATTTTTCTCATCCTAGTATTCGAACGATACATTTATATTAAGATTATAAACATATCTATGTAGAATGTTTTAATCTGAAATTTGTTTACGTGAAAAATAATCATTTTTATTAGATCAAATGAATCTAGATATACACGTATACGAAATTATGGAACGTATAAAAATAGTATCTAACAGTAACTCGAAGACAAGATTAAGACAAGAATAGATCGAATGGAAATTTTTTAATAATTTTTCAACAATTAATTTATCAAGTATGACATTAAAATAGATTCCATTGATGAAGTAAGTCCCTGTACATATAAAACAATTAATCTAATTCTCTCTCTATAAAAAATATTTAAAGAAGGGATTCAGTATTTTATGAATATATATCCATTATTTGTAGAAATAGAAAAAAGATATTTGATCAATATAAATTATTTATAGTACACTGAAACAATTCTTCAAATCTATGTTTATCAGATATTTATTAGATATTGTTCAATTTTATTATGTGTAGTTGCAATTTTACATATATAATCTCAAATCTTTCTTTATTTTACGATATATCTAAAAAATTTCATTGACAAAAATAAATTATCAAATTTCATCATGTAAAACGGAACTTTTTTTCTATTTGATTTTTTTGTGGGAATTTTTTTTAGTAATTTCGCAATGATTAAATAGCATTATTAATTGTGGTTTTATTCAATCAGATTCCCGACACACCCCTATTGTTAATCTAATGTGGAATTGAGAGAAATGTAGAGGTAATCACGGAAGACTGTGCAGAGCTCACTCAACTATAACTTCTATTCAGGCACAGGCAATCTCTGGCATTTTTAACTATAGCATACTGTCATTTCAATCAATATTCAATTCTCTATTTTTGTTTTGCGTTTTTCTCTTCGTAAGACAATAATTTTGAACGATCAATTAATAGAAACAAAAAAAGACAAAAATATCACGAAAAATTATTACATTATCGTACAAATCATACATATGTACAATCATTATGACGCCTAGAAAATAACTTTCCATCAAGTTTAATCTATTTTTTGTAGTTTTATTTTGACAAAGTAGTTCATTTTGTTTTATTTTTTGTCAAAAAAACGAAGAAATTGTTACGAATACTCGATAGGCAATGTTTGTCATCGGTTAGCATTCTAACAATCTAATACTATTGATCGATATTCTTGACAATTGAGCATTTTTCGTAAAAATTAAAAAAAATTAAATCTAATGTTACAGAATCTGTAAATATCATAATCTAGAAATCTGGCAAAAGTGAAACTATCATTCGAATAATTATTATTATTAATTAATTAATTAAGAAAAAAAACAGGAGGAGAAAATGAGAAAAGAAGAGAAAATCTGCTAATAGGCCGTGAAAGGTTGCCTAGGCCTGCTCTAACGCTATTAAACCTTAATCGTTATAGTCATAAAATTATTTTGTACTAAAAACTGTTTATAATTTTGTATCTAATCTCTGTAAATATCAAGCAGATTGTCTATGGCTAATAAAGCTTAAATAAAAAATATATATATATATACATACATAAGTAGACTATATAAAGGGAATTATATAGGTATTATAATATATATATATATATTATACATATATATATATATATATATATATATATATATATATATTATTTTAATTAGCGATAAGAAAACGAGCGAGAAACTGTAATTAAATTTCACTGGAGAACTGGTAATATACCAATGTACAACGATCTAGAAATTATTGTATTATACAGGTGACAATTATTAAGGGACAAATCATAAAAATATAGATGTTACTCGAACCACATATGTGTATAGGGTACTCCATTCCATATTTGTTCTGAAATTCCGAACGATAGAATATAATTATTATATATCATATATAAAAAGAAAAAAAAAGAAAGAGAAAAAAAATTGTTTTATTTATTTTATAAATTTTTTTAACAAATTATATAAATATAACACGAATAATTATCTAATAATAAATATTTTTAAAATTATTTATGATATCTATATTTATGAGATCAAATAACATTTTGTTCTATTATTATTTAAATTATTTATTAAATATATTAATAAATAATAAATGAATTAACAATAAGTTGCAAAAATATATATTACTTTATATTAATATACAAGAAAAATATTGGCGAGGAATTTTAGAAGAAAATATTTTGGTTTTTGGAAAACCCTGTACAGTATTATGGTATAGAATCCAACTAGTCATTTATGACACTTTATAATAACTAAAATAAATCTTTTACAAGAAAAAGCACGGACATACGGAAAACATGTTTTTCTAAATTATGTTTTAATTAAAAAACGAAAAAAAAAACTGAAACTGAATTAAAATTGAACTGTTCATACCTTCGGTTCACACCTAAAAAAATAAATTTTGACATACACATTTAACGTAACATTCTTTTGATTTTTTTTCTATTATAATTGCATATTATAAATGAAATCAATTTATTGATTATTATATTATTTCTATTTCTATCTGTCTGCCTCTAAATGCGAATTATCACTTAAACATTATTGACAGTAATCTAAGTCTTGCGCAAAATAATTCTATTCGTATATCTTATATGTATGTTTCGATAAAGGAGAAATTACATGTTGTAAATTCAAGTAGCAGAAAGTCGCAAAAAGCACAACGATAAAACTTATTTGTATCGAACAGTCAAACGGAACAATATTACACATTTCAATGAAAATCTGTGATTTAGTGAAATTCTTATTTTTCCTTCCTTATATTAAGCAAACATATATGAATAAAAATTTCCAGATTGTTTTAATATTGAAAATTTTTTAATATTATCAAATAATATTATTAAAATATTATTAAACATTGAAAGACAATTTATATCAATGTATTAATTCTCGTCGAATTTTCTCAAATTATAAAATAAATAAATAAATAAATAAATAGAGTTTGAGTTTAAAAATTTGTCTCTAAAAAAAAAATGGGTCTGATTGCTTTATTTTTAATAAAGTATCCATAATTATAATAACATATATTATATATAACATATACATATCATTTTTATGTATTATAATTTATAAATTTTATATTTTTTATTTTAAAAAACAATAAAATTAATTTGATATTAGAGATATCTTTTGGACGTATAAATTTTGCAAAGCAAATAAATATAGACAAGGAAAACAAATATAGATAGGAAGAAAGACAAAATAGGAAAAAATAGAATGAAAATTCGAAAATCATTCAAAATACTATAAATAAAATATAAATATAATGAGAAGAATAAATAGTGGAACTGAAAAGAGATTCAATAAAAATTATGAGATCAGTATCATCTTCAGAATATCGTAAATGAAACATATATAAAGAAGAAATAAGGAAATAAAGATAAAGATAAGATAAAAATTAAAAATTTGGAAATCAACCATCTTTTGAATATCAGATAACTCTTTAAATAATCTTTTTAAAAGGACTGAAAAGATGGCATTGATTCTCAATTCTTATTCTATATATTATCTTGCCTTTAAAAAGATATCTTTAGCATTCAAGATAGCGTTAATGGCCAATTCTATTTTTATTCTTTCTCAATTATTCTTTTTTTTTATCTCCACATTTGAAGATTTCACAATTTTTATCCTACGTTTATCTTTGTTCCATTATTTGTTCTTCTTGCTTTTATTTACGCTTGCTATAAAACTATGCACAAAATATTTTTATCATTTTTTTTTTAAATTTCAATGTTTTAACCTTTAATGTAAATAAAGATATAAATATCGATTTTTTTCCAAGATATAGATAAAAAATTTTTTTAGGAAATAATATATAATTATATTCGTGTATACATGCATTTATAATTAATAAATATTAACTATATATATTAACTATATATTACAATTTGATTAAAAAATATTCACATAAAAAAATACTACTTTTTAAAACCATCAAAATTTTTATAAAATATAATAAAATTTATGAAAAAAAAAGTTGTCAAAATTCGTATGATATTTCTATTATATATCTATTATACTAAAAACTTAGGAAACTAGGAAATTATATCTTAGAAATTATAAATCATAAAACGAGCAATTAAGAATTTTTTAAATTGTTAATATATATTTTAATATAAATAATTATATTATACATTACATTACATTATACATATATATTTTAATATAAAATCAAAACTACAATCTCTAATTTATATATAATATTCATTTTTAATTTTTCAACTTTTATGAAAATACAGATAATACAAAATTATTTTTTTATCATCAAAATTTTATAAAATTTTTTGCTCTCTATAATCAATAAATTTTAATAATTGTATTACAGGAATAATACATGTATAAAATATAAAATTCGTATAATTATACAGCTTATTTGAATCTATTGAAATTCACTATGAAAAGATAATTATTATTGATACGGATAAACTTAATATAATAATATTACATTATTAATCGTTAAAAAGAGTATAACATATAAGATATAGATTTAATAATATTCAAAAAATGATAATTCTTGAAAATATCATTTATTCAAAATGTTTTATATTAAAGCTCCTACAGGACAAATATCATTTCATATTTTAGAAAAGTGCATTTTAGATAGGTTAGAATATTTACAATTATTATACGAAAATAAAAGTCACGAATTTAATGGTGATTTTGAATATTTATTAGAAAATTCAGCATATGACAAAATCGGACACTTTATATTACGATAAGTTTTATTCGAATAACTACAATAATTATCAAAGTTTTTGACATGTTAATTTACAATATTTTTTAATTTGATTTATCGATTTTATTGTATCGTATAATAACTGTTTTAGATTATTGGCATGTATGTCAGAAAAACTATATAATTATTGGATTGCAAAAGAAATATTATTATTTCAAACTAGATTAAATTATATTTTACCTAGGTAATTACATAAATTATTTAGGAGCATTTTATATCAATTGGGAGAATTCACAGACAAAAAAAATTAATTAATAAAACATTAAACGACATATGTATTTTTTTTTTGAAACCATTTGTCTTTAAACATCTTGTATCAAAAAATCATACAAAGAATTGTAATCTTTATAAAATTAAAGGTATATATTTATATATAAATATGAATAAATAAATCAATTAATTTTTTATTACAATTTAATTATTTAAAAATTATATTAACTTTTTTTTCAAGTACGATTTGAAATAGTACCAGATTTAATAACAAAACGAAAAATAGACTTGAATGCCGGATATATTATTATATACTGCTCCAAATGGAAAAAAATATTAAAATCGTTATTTTGCACTTATATAACCAAGCAAATAATATATATAAAAGCACAATATATAATAAATCAAGATACTAGACTTACTTACTTATATTATAAAATTCATTCTAAAATACTTAAAGAAAATTGTCAAATATCAATAAAATATAGATATATAACTAAAGAAAATATAGATAAAGAAGTAAAAAATTTTCCACTTTGTATGCAAAATTTGCATATAAAATTAAGAAAAACACATAGACTTAGTCATTATGCTCGTTTATATTATAGTCTGTTTTTAAAATATGGTGGAATGCAGTTAGAAGATGCTATAAATTATTGGAAAGAAGAATATTCCAAACCTCATACCTGTTCTTCTACTTGTTCACATAATTGGCAAATGAACGAACGAAAATTTATATACAGTATTCGACACTTTTATGGTTTAGAAGGATCCAAAAAAAATTATAAATCACCTTCTTGTAAAATGATGTGTGTAAGTAATATTTTCTAATATTATGAAATTTCTGTATTTTCAAATTCATCTTTTTCTTATGTTATTAGACGAGTGCATCAAGTCCCATATATGAAGGAGGATGTCCATTTAAAAATTTTGATATAAATATATTAAAAAATCTCTTATGTTTATCATTATCAAATGATTACATAACAAAAGTATTAAACACTATATCTTCTCAAAATCCTCAAACTGCTTGCGCTGAATTTTTTAAAATATTAAATCAAAAAAAAAAAATAATATTATTATTAGTAGTCTTCTACAATATTATTTCAAGATGATAAATCAAATTTAAATATATAAAACATTAATAGAGCCAACTATTTTTAATATTTATTTTTCTTAAATCTAATGCAATATAAGTTAAAAATAAAATTTTATTTTCTATAGATTTAATTAAAAAGTTACAAATATCAAAAATTTTTAAGACTATTTTCTACAAGTGTATAGTTTATACCATTTTTAACATATATACAAGTAACACCAAGTTTTTCTATATCCTTAATATTTCTATATTCATCATCAAAAAATATCATATCTTTATAATCAGTTTCTGATATTTTTTGAATCCTAAAAAAAATAAGTTATATAAATATTTATCAAATATTGTTATTATAAAAAATGAAAATAAAGTTATCTACTAAGATAAGAATTACTAATTTTTAGTAAAAATTTACCTAGAGAAATGAGTTATTTTACTTCCTGGATAAATTTCTTTATATTTGAAATAATTATCCCAGTTAAATAAATTTAATAATTGTTTAGCACCTTGTATTTCTGAAGTACGAGATGCAATACCAAGTTCATATCCTTCTTCATATAAATATTTTAAAATATCAGGTACTTCTTTATAATATTTTATAATTTGATCATGAGAATCTAGTATATCATTGCCTTTCCTTAATTTTAAAAAAAAATTCGATAAAAATGTTTATTGAACAACTATAAAATAATATTAAAAATTATATTTCTTTAAAACTTACTTTTTAAAAGGAGGATTAACATGAGTATCAATCCAAAATGGCCATAAAGTATAATCTGAAATATAATTAGATTATTATTTTATTTTATTTCGTAATAAATAAAAAATAAAAAACAAAAATAAATAAGTAATATTTTTATTAAAAGAAATTAATTAAAAAGAAAATAAAAAAAATTTTAACCTAAATCGAAGACAATTATTTTCGGTTTATGATTTTTTTCACACATTTTTAATGCATAACATTCATTATTATCATATTACAATTTTAAATAAATTATTAAATATTAATACAATAAGAATTTTATAAATTATATATATTTAACACATAATTCTTTTTGATAAAATGTAAAAATTATAATCATATCTATTATGATATCATATCTAGTACTGTTTAATCATATTTGTGCTCGTAATAAATAAAAAAATGTTATAGTAATAACATATTAGTAAATATAAAAAAAATTATTTTTCTTATGAAAAGATTAATAGAAATTATTTTATGCATAATATAATACTTTATTGTTTCTTTCAAAATTTTAATATTTTCGAAAAAAATTTTACATAATAATTAAATTTTCATGTACGCGAAAATCTATTGTTTCTTTAAATGACCAATAATATTAAATTTCTGAATTTCGTTGTAACCAATCACAAATGAAATACATATTAAGGCGATTTTCTAATTTATGTAAACCTCAAATTTTTGTTCGTCTCGTTCAGTAGTAGCGTCAATCTCGTTTATCGAGTTTGTAGAATTGTGAAGTGTTGATTAAAGATATATAATTATTAAATTTATCATAAAATTATTATTTTAGATAATAAAAACGTCTGAAGGTATACACGTACGTTATATTTTTTATATAATTAACAGTAATTAATACTAAAAATATTTGTATGTCCTTAAAGATTACAAACATAATTTATTATATTGTACATTAATGCTATTAATTTTATATTATTTTTTAAATTATTTTTATTTATTTACATATATATATCAATATTAGAAAATAAATAATTATATACATAAATACATAAATATAAATATTATAATTATAATAATTTAAATAGAGAGAGAAAAAAAAGAAAAAGTGAATAATATTATTATATTATACTCATATTGTATCTATAACATTAAAAATAATTTTAATAATACATTATTATTAAATTAAATAATTTTTAGATATGAATGTAATAGTTTACGCTTTTAATTTATAAAAATTTCTTGATTAATTTACATATATTATTTTGCATAGAATATTTTATTTATTGTTTTTTTTCAATGATAACTATAATTTTTATAATTTTATTTGATTAATTTTAATTGAAATTAAGAAGATATATATCTTGTCTTTCATTATAATATTTTTGTTATTATATTACATTAATTATTTTATATATATATTTTATGTCTTAAATATATATTTTATATATCTTATATATTTCATATATTGATAATATCAATAAATTTACAGAAATGTCTGAATCGGATCTTTTAGCTGCTGATCACATTGATGGTCTAGATGGGCTTGAAAATGGTCAAGATGGAGATGCCATTATGCAATGTGATGGTGTAAAACGTGAATTAAATGAAGCAAATATCGATGATCCGGTATTTTGTTTTAGTTTGTTATAAATAAATATTTGTTGTTATATAGTTTCTGACTGCTTTCTTGATTGAAATATAATTTATATTTTTTTATGTAAAATTTTTTTATTGTGTTGTAGGAATTAGAAGCTATTAAAGCACGTGTTAGAGAAATGGAAGAAGAAGCAGAAAAATTAAAACAATTACAATCTGAAGTGGACAAACAAATGAATATGGGTAGTCCACCTGGAATAAGTAAGTTATAGATTATATTAATTTCAATATATAACTAAAAGTTTTACAAATATTTTCATAATTTTTTTTTATAAGAAAAATTATTGTATATTTTTTTAAATTTTTAGCAAGTCCATTAAATATGTCACTTGAAGACAAAATGGAAGTTGATAATAGATCCATTTATGTTGGTAATGTAAGTAAAACTATATTTTATATATATTTTATTTTATTTATATTATTTATTATATTATTTATTAAGAAATATTATGAATTAATATTCACTTTTCATACAAAAGGTTGATTATGGTGCTACAGCAGAAGAATTAGAACAACATTTTCATGGCTGTGGCAGTGTTAATAGAGTAACAATATTGTGCAATAAATTTGATGGACATCCCAAGGGTTTTGCTTATATAGAATTTGCAGAACGTGATTCTGTACAAACAGCTATGGCTATGGATGAATCTATGTTTAGAGGACGTCAAATTAAAGTAATGCCTAAAAGAACAAATAGACCTGGACTGTCAGTGACAAATAGGTGCTTAAATATTATTTTTTAAATATATATTATTATTTTATATCTATACATATATATATTTTTTTTTATTTTATATATATATATATATATATTATAGGGGACCACGAGGAACACGAGGCTACCGAGGTATAGCTAGAGGAATCATACGTGGTAGTGCATATTTTGGATATAGACCTATAAGGCGACCTAGGTATATTGTTAAAATTAAATATTTATTTATATTTTCAATTTTTTCAAATATTCTTTTCAATAATTTTTTTTGCAGGAGTTACAGACGAGGATATTATATGCCGTATTGACCGTTTTAATATATTGTATTGGAATTTTACAATTGAGGTAAGTTTTTATATTTGTAATTTATGATTTTTTTTGATTATTCAAACATAAAATATCGAATATTATCGAACATATAGTTTTATATATATAATTAATTATATACATTAAACAAAAATAAAAATATTTCTAATACATTTTATATTTATAGTATAAAATTGGACATCTTTATGTTTGAACAATCAAAATATGTAAAACAATGCAAAATACTATAAAACAATGCATTTATAGGAAAAGCTGGTGAAATAATAAATATTTAGAATAATATTATATTGCAGAATTATAAATACTAAGATAAATGATAGAATAAATAAACTACTATAATATTCACTAGCCATTCCTGAATCAATGTATTTTTTCAGTGATAATTATTTTATGTATATATTAGATTTTTTTTTAATATTCTGATGTATCTATATAATTAAACTTAAAACATTGTAAATTTATGATGTTAACAATCTAAAATTAAAAATATTAAAAAGAGTATCCATCAATTTTTTACAGTGGATATTACAAAATTTATATCTAGATACATTAGCTTTCTTAGGAAATGCTATATTTTGTGCTATACTTCTTAGGAAATGCTATACATTTGTTTTCATTTTTAATATCTGGCCATATTTTAAATATTATTAAAAAAAAAGGCACTTATATTAACAATATGTTTAGTATAAATATAATTTTGTATTTCAATACTTTAATTTACAATTATAATTATACAATATTTCTCTAACTGTTTTAGAATATTTTGTGTAATGTTGTGTAATTTATTTTATGATATTTTTAAATAAATGAACGATTCATTCAATTCGCATTTATATTATAAAGTATGGCCATGTGAACTGTAACACTGAATATTGTAAGTTTTTGTGCATATCTTAATTACAAGTTACACAAAACTTACATATTTCTATGAACACGCATTTCACTATCATGCAGCTAAGGTGTTTAAGTAAATTCTTATGATATGTCCACAGAAAAAAAAACTGATACGATGGGAAAAAAAAGAGAAAGAAAAAACCTCATGTCAAAAGAAAAAAAAAAAGATTGGACAAAGATGGGCACAATTAATCATATTTGATTTAATAAATCTTCATATAAAAATTACAAATGTAGATCAGCGATAATTTACAATTGCAGTTCAATTATATTTTTTATATAATTTGCAATAATAACCAATCAATTTTATAGTATCAGCCTTTATTAATATCCAAAGATTTTCAATTTGTTTAAAATACAAAAATATATAAAACATTGGAATGTTTAATATATCAAAATATAAAGAATGCACTAAATGTGTAAGAGTATGTGTGTGTATATTTACACATACAAATTTATATATTATTTTAGTACAGAAATATAATTAGTTTGTCATACTTTTTGAAAAAATTTAAATTTGTATTTTAAGTTATTATAAAATGAAAAATATTATTTCTTATTTAAAAAATTAGTCATTATTCAAAACTTATTAATTCTCTTTTTGTAATTGCTTTTTCAATTCACAATTTCAATTTGCATATTAATTTCTCAATAATTACAGTAAACCATTTCAGTAAAATATTACAGTAAAATATAATTTTTATTTTTTATGATCAATATATTAGTATTTATAACAAAATTTATATATTTTCGTTATTGTTAAGAATTGTTAAAATTTTTATTTAATTCAATATTTAAAATTAAATTTTATCTGCTTGAAACAATATAATATATAAAGAAGTCATTGATCTTAAATTATATAAACATAATTGTGATTGTAAATAAAAATGATAATATTAAATATGTTAAAATAAAATAAAATATGAAATTGTAAACAAAAAAAATAATTTTTGTAAGATTTCTGACATTAAAAAAAATATTAGTGATTTAGAAAGTGATTTTAATAAATTATAATATAGCAATAATAATTTTAAAAATATTTTTGGTAAAAAATAAAGGCTGATATAATTATAATTAAAACTAAAATTTATATAACGTCATAATTGTTATTACAATATACTATTAATATATTTGTAATAACTCTTTAATATAATTCCATATAATAATTCTTTAATAATTTCATATTTTTCAGCTATATAAAAACTTATACTTAAGACATCAAATAAAAAGAATTGAACTGCAATGTAAATATCTAGAGTAATACCATATTACTATAATTTATAGTAACTTTTGTATGCACACAGTAAGTGAAAGTTGCGAAAATTAAAAATTGTTAACTTCTGTAAAAGAATAACATATTGATATTATAATATATGCAACTTTCATTTATTTATTACTAACTATACATCCTCAATTTTATCTCAAACATATTGCTACTAATTTGTAAGATGCGTGTAAAATGTTTTTGAACTATTAATCCACTGTGCTATGATGTTAGGAGGAGAGCCAAGTTTCCACATATTAATAATCGAACCACATTTCGTAATGTTACTTCCATCGCTAAGTATTTTGCAGGTGCAGTGCAGCATCAGCATCAATTGAGTGATAATCATACAAATTTCATGAACAATTTTTACGTTCCATTAAAAAAAAGAAAGAAAGAAAGAAAAAAAGAAAAAATAATTATATAAGTGTAATATATAAATGTAACATGATTGAGTGGTCAATAAAGATTTTCTTGGCTTAAAAATCATATATCCAAAATGTTATTTAATTTATACTTATTAAATATAATAATATATACATATATATATATATGATATATTATTATATATATATTTAATATAATTGATGTATTAATAATAATAATAATATTAAACATAAATATGCATATTTATGTGTAATATCATTTTATAAAGAATAGGTTAAATAAAAAATTAACTTCAAAAAATTAGCGATTTGCATTTATTAACATTCAGTATTGTTTAAATTGATATTTTTATATTTCAATTAATGTTATCAGATGAATAAATTTTGTTCACAAATTAATATTTTAATAACAGATATAACCAGAATATTATTATATATGTTTTATTAGAAATTTGTATTTTTTTATATCTCTGAAGGCATATAAATGCACAATTAATCTCTAAAGAGTTTTCAATTAATGGAAAGATTGTGAATAAGATGTAACAGAAAACATTGAAGACCTGAATTTAAGATGCTAAAAATACAGTATAACAAGATATTATTGTATTTTTTAGTAACTACACAATAATGCAAACAAATTATATTTTTAAAGCATATCATATTTTAAGATTCTAATCTAATTGCCGTTTTCTTTTCGTTATTTTTAATGTATTAGTATTTTAATTATTTTTACGGCCAAAAAATACTTCTATTAGTATTAATTTTAAGAAAAAATATATATAATAAAAATCAAAATAAATTTTATATATTTTAGTAAATTATATAAATTTTGCAACAAACTACTTTAATAGTCAATTTATTATAGATTGAAATTTTAAATATTAATTATATTTTTATTTATACAATTTATAACAGATAAGTAAATTGGTTAAATTTTTTTTCAAGTAAATTATTTTTTATGGACATTAAATCAATATAATTTAAAAATATAATTATGATATTAAAACATTAAAAATTTATTTCTTTTAAGCTCAATGCAATTTTTAAATATTGATTTTTTTTTATAATAATCATGATTTAAATTTATAATAATTAAGAGTCCATTTCTTTCAAATTTCAAATATATATGCACATATATTATTGCTATCTTTTTATTTTATCAAACTAAAAAAAAAATATTAAATAACAAAGATTCACTAATATAAATAACTTCAAATCTTCAAGATTATAGATTTTTTCTCTCTAAATAACTTAAGTTGTTTTGATTCTCAGATATAGAAATATAATTTATTCTATATTCAGCATATTTTTGAAATCTATATATATTTTATAATGCATAGCTATTCTTTATAATTCAGGTCTTCAATTTAAATCTACAGAATTTAATAGCAATATCTTGGACTTTATTCATTTTAGTCCTTCTTCGATAAATATCCATGTTCATATATAGTTTTAATTATTTGGTCTAAAGAACAGGATATAAGATTGCATTGAAATAAACATTGACTAGTATACCAACTTCAGTAGTGTAAATTTTGTTTTGGAAGGCAATAGTGATTATTAAGAATGTAATTCAAGTGTCTCCAAAATTGATCGACATAAACTTTGTAACTTTGGTCTTGTTGTGTGTTCTGTATGCATATTTTCTAAATATTTTAATATTTCTACTCCACCTTCTCTGATTAGCATACTGCAATAACGTTTTGCTACAAAATTTTAGTGATATAAATATAATATAATATACAGATAATAATATTAATTTTATATCAAATTATTTAATATTCATATTCATTTAAAAAAATTTCATATGTGAAATATTATTACTTACGATTTTTTGTGCATACATGATGTATTGCCCAAACTGCCCAAAGTTGAACAGGATAAGCATTTCGACAAAGCAAAAGTGAAAAAAATGGATGAAAACTTCTATATGCAACCATTTCTCCTTGAGGAGTTTGCCAATGTGTTATAGTATGAGCTAATTGTTCTAATAATTCATCTCTACTTGGTAATGAAGATATTGCAGCCCATGCACGTGGACCATCACTAAGCAAATGTGCAGCAATACCTGCTGCGAAATAAGATACATCAATATGTACAGATGTCAACAATGTAGAGAGCATAGAGATGAACCTAGGCTGCATAAGTCTTGGTCTCAAATGAACTACCTATAAAACGTTATAAAATATAATTGTGTTAATCTATATTTTTTATGATTAAATTGTTTAAATTTAATAATTATTATATAATTAAAAAATAATTATTTTTTAAAAAATTAATATAATTAAAAAGAAAAATTAAATTAATTGTTACAAACCTCTGCTATATTATTTAATGAGCCAAGTACTTTAGTTTCAACACTAAATTGTCCTTGAAAACTTTCTAATACTTCAAGAAATAATTCCATTCCACCTTCATCTAAAAAGACTTCGCATGTTGTAGCACTTTCATCGGTTAAATTCCATAGAGCACTTAATGTAAATTTCATTGTTATATCTACTGATTTTGATTCAACTTTAGTTCTAACCATTGCTAATAATTTAGACATATACTGAGGTTGAGCACCAAGCATTGATGTTTCTACTGTTGATATTTTTGCTGCTAATATAGAGCAAATAGCAACAGACATACGATTCATTGATGGTTCATTAAATGTTAACAAAGAATTTAATACTAATCTTGCACATCTACAAATGGAAAATAATTAAATTGTTATAAATTTAATTGATATTTTTTAATTTATATGTGATAAATGAATAAATTTAAACATATAAATTATAATAAAAAATATTTGCTATATTTACATTACATTTTTAAAATAAAATATATAATTTTATCAAGTTCAATTACCTATATTTGTCAAAAGTTATTTCCTGTAGTATTCTATCACTACATAAAATTAATAATGTATTCATCTGAAGTCGATAGTTGGTTGGATAAGATTCCATTGCTATCATTGTTAATTCAACAACTTGTTTAAGAATTGATGGGTGAATCATGATGGAGAATTCACCTTTAGTGAGATTATAAAGACATGCAGTACATGGCACTTGTATACGTACTTCTTGTGGATGTTCTCTCATTGCAGGTAATACTAACTTTATAACATCAATCCGAGATTCAAGAAAATTATGTGTCAAACGGAATAAATTAAATAAACATTTCTCAAGATAAAGTGGTCTGCATGTATATCTCTTAAGACCTTCTAAGATTTGAGATTCTGTTGCTGTACCAGTAACCTAAAATAAATATTAAATATTATATTAGAATATTTAAATATTTTTCTTTTTATATAATCATAATTTGATAAAATGTGAATAGAAATATTTAAATAAAATTTTTGTAAACAGTTTATTATTGCTATAAATATTTTTATATAATTATGTATTTATAATTAATAATTATTTTTTCTTCTATTCTTTACATTATAATATTCTTTAATACTTACAACAAGTCCAGGCCTATAGTATTCATCTGTTGGATTTGTTAAACTGTCATCATAACAAGCATCTGTACTTACAAGTCCCAAAAACCTTAAGTGTGTGTGAGCTTTTATAAATTCTTTCAAATCTTTTGGATCTATATCACCCTTACCTATTTTGAGTGATAAAATAGAAATTATTAAATCATTTTATGTATTACAAAAATAAAATAATATATATTATATCATTATATAGTTACCAGATAAATCTAAACTAGTTAGATATGGCATACAGTGCACAGCTTTTAAAAAATCTGTTATTTTTGGCTTTTCAGGCCCCAACACACAATTAAGAGCATGCATATCTTTTTCATCTGAAATATCTAAATTTCTTAATTCATTCAACTCCAATAATACTGAAATTAAATCTGCACTTTCATTTATCTTTAAGTTATACATATTAAGTGTTTTTAAACGATTTTTACACTTTTTTAATGGTGTTATATCATCAACTTTTGTACATGAAATATCTAAACTTTCTAAAAGGGGAAGATCCTCAACTACTATTTCCAATCCATGTTTATTAAATTCTGTACCTGATACATTTAATGTATGCAATGACCTCAATTTACTTAATGTTACTACCACACAATACCTATTATAAAATATAGTTTAAATATTATACATAGATAGAATATTTTTAATTATATTTATAAAGATAATGTTGAATACCGTGAACAATCTATAAAACTTCCTTTTGCTACACTCAATGATCTAAGATTTTGTACACTCCAATCACCTAAACAACTTATCAGATCATTAACAGTTATTTTTAAACCATTTACCATCAAATCTACCACTTTATGTTGTTTTAAAACTTTTAAACCTTTTGTTGATAATGCAGATGCATCTTTTAATCGTACATGCCTATAAATGGCAATAAAAAATTAATATTTTTTACATATAAATTTACATACTTAAAAAATGAAATATAAATACCTTAACCTGGTAGATTTTGAATTAAAAAGTGTAATTGTCAAATCAGATAATGTTTTTTTCTCACAAAGATTAGCCAATAATTGTTCTGATACTTCAGCTGGTAAAAAAGCATCTGGATGTCTAAAACTAAGTCTTGTTGCTGAACTCGATGATCCATCATTAGATGCTTTACCTATTATTGCATTCAAAAATATATCTATATTATTATTATTATTTAATAAAAAAAAATTGATTTAAGACTTCATAAAAAATTATTATACTATAAAATGACTTCTATTAATTTTTATAAAATTTCTTCAATAATAATATAAAATATAAATAAGATACATAATTATAAAATATAAATAGATATATAATTAAAATTCTTTTTATTTTTAAAACTTACTGCAAGTAGTTGTATCCAATGAATTAGGGGAATGTTCTTCTGTATCACCAAGATGTACATCACATAAATCCAAAACATTATTACAAATAAAATCAATGCAAACCTCAAGGAGACTTTTCGGAGACTCAAACATTTTATATTCTTATTTACACACAAATATTCTTTCTTTATTTTCTTTGTAGCTTCTTAAAGAATTGATTACTTCAAATGGTCTAACATTTCATTCTTTCATATTTATTTCAAAAAATCTGTTACAACACATATACACATTCATATATAT